ATTGCCACAACGATTCTATGTGAAAGTACAATGCTTGGCGCATCCCGAAAAAGATTGATTAGCACCACAGTATGTTGCACAGGTTCCAAGGTGCCCACAGAGCAGAACATCTGAGATTGAAAAAGAAGAACATTCCCTGGTATAGCCGTCTCGGGCGAATTACCAACCCTTTCAGTCATCCAGGGAATTGCGAACTTTTATTTACTACAGCGATGTTTTGAAACTCACAAAACGTTATTACACTCAAAGAATGCAACCGCCACGGCATCGTTCTACTCACCTTGCAAAACAAATTACTCATGGATGGACTAATGTATTGTTTTCAAACGCCGTCCGTGACGGCACTCAGCACAACACGTTCCCTCAATCGTTAAATAGTGAGGATCACATGACTTCGCATTTGATAGTTCAAGTTTCATTGCTTCGGACGCAATGAAAAAAGCGCTGATTTTGAATCCATTTCTTCATCTCATTCCATAAACTTGCTTTTGATCATGTCCCAGACGAAATCCATATCTGTAAATTATTACTTTTAACTGAAGCAGCGCAAAATAGGGAATAAACAGAAGAAGTTTCAGCAAAGTGGTTGAAGTGTCACGAACCGGAGCGCATGGAACATAGCTGATCTCTCGTTAACTGGCATTCAGGTTATTTTTCCGTTACGTGTGTACCGTAACATGGGAGATGGTGTATTTTCTTCCAACACGATTACTGACTCCAGTGGAGGTTCTACAAAACGTGATGTTAGTTTATGAGTGATAAAATAAATGGTCGAGAGCTGACCTTTTGGGATGCTGTTTTTCACAAATTGCTTCAAAACATCAAGATTAGATGCGTAAACACGACCCAACATCTTGCTGTGCTCTAAAACACGACCAGAAGTTCTCATTTTCAAAATCGTGACAGCTGTGGAGAAACTGACATGCCATGAAACTCACCAGGAGGTAAACCTAAGTGTGTGCATTCAGTCTCGAAGTCATCTGTGTCGCATTTGTATGAAGCAGCGTTTTTCATCATAAAAGGATATGGAGTACAAAAACCTACGAATGCAGAATACATCTGGAAAAAACCGATTATGCCTAGCTGCTTTTCAGGAAAAGAAGCAAAACAAGAAACCCAGATACTTCCGTGCTTTCTCGCTCCCTTCCTTTTCTATGCCCGCTAGTCATTACACACAACAGGCGCGAAATTGTTGGACCACGAAGCAAGAAAAAGATCGCAAATCATTTGCAAGGAGTGATCGGACACGATTCCAAATTCTAATTTCATTTAAATGTACCCTTCGTTCTTTCACTATATTTGTTATCAATATTGTCGAAACGGGCGGTTCTCGTTACCAGACATTGTCGCTACCACCCAATTGCTCCTGGACCGAACCCTTTTAATTCAACCAAGACTTTCTGTTTTAAGTTCTGCCTTCTTTACTTGTTAAAAGAATTGCTATTGCATAGGCCAAAAGCACAAGCCAAAGTCTGCGATTTCCAAATGTGAACCAAACATATGGAGCACCTGGAACAGATTAATCAGCAAAGGCCTACTCATCTTACTTTTTTATAACTGCTCATCAATTCACTTGACCCTACAGGGTCATCTATCATCAAGATGCTACTGTTAAACATATCTGAATGCATGAAAGTTGAACAAAAACAATAAAGGACAGCTTTCTCAAGAGCGTACCGTTGTGCTCAGATACGAATCGTGCCGAAATCACCGTCAGCGACATTCTTGTTAAGAAGAAAATCTACAGACAACTGGCATAATCCTTTGAACTTGACAGATGACTGAAATGAATGAGCTTAAAGATTGATTAACAATTTACTAATTAATAGTTGTCTGAAGCCAGATTCATTTGAAAACTCACCAGACTAGAAAATTCGCTTATCTGAGCGAGAAGCCAATCCGGGCAGTCCTGCCATCCCAAAAATCGAAATTGCTTAATAATAAAAGTTTACGCGATATTACAAGACAGCTCCATAAACTTATGCTAGCTTACCATTTACTCTGCTACTATTCCAAAACCAAAATAAGTACAAGCAGAAGGAACCGCACAAAAAATAATGTAGCGATGGGAGGATGGGAGCCTTTTTTTAGCGTCGATAAGAATTAGGCGTGAGCGTGTTGTGTGCTTGCGGCCAAAAAATAACGCGTGCGTGGTTTGAACGTGCGTTGGCAATCTCGCTGGCTGTCGTCGGCTGGACGGTTGGTGCTACGAGATGCTCTTTGTTGTTTTTGGTTCCTTGTCATGATTCATGGCCTGCTTCGCTTGGTTTCAATTCGACACATTGCTTTTTCTTTGGCTTAGTTCTGATCATTGTTAAACTGTTTCTTATTATCATTTCTAATTCTCTTTTTTTCTCTTTTATTTGCATTCTTTGGCATGAGTCATCGAATTCTTTAGTTTTTGTTTTATTCATGATTTCATCGTTGTATTATTTTTCAACACTCATAGAACATAACTGGGGGCCAAAGGTTTTTGGGTTTTGATTTTTTTCCCTTTTAAACGTTTAATTGGCCTTTGCCCCCCTTACCCATCTCCAAAAACATTTCAGAGTACCAACTTCTGATATCGAGTTTTGCAGATTTCTTTATTGAATAGGGGTTTTTTCCTAATTGAGCAAAGTTTCGTGTATGTCGTTGTGATTTTTGAATGGCCGCTGTAATCGGGTGGGATGCAGGACACGTGTTCCTCGCAGCGGGCTAGAATTTCCTGCGGTTCACTCTGGGCATTGGAACCGTGCACCAATTGCTCTGGGTGGTTCGTTGGTCTCCTAATCATCTGAACCTTTCAGCTGAAGCTCGTGAGGCGATCAGTGACGCAGTCCTGTAAGCTTGGCTGTCCGAGTTGTAGGCAGCAGTGATTCATAATTCACAGCCTTCTCCTCACAATTGTAATGTAAATTAGCTGCGTACCTCGCTTATCAGGGGCTTGTTGGAGGGATATGAAAGCAAAGTGGTGTATCTTCGCGGATAATTGAGGATGACCTTGGTTACACTTAATGTTCATGTTACGATGCCCACTTCAAATTCTTTGGTGATGTCCCAGTCCTTCGTATTAGAGCGACATAGGTTAGGTGGAGATTCTGTGCTTTCGCTTTCCTCCCTTTAGAGTTCCAACGAGAATTCTTGAGAAAAAGATGTTCGGCGTCACGGGCGGTAATCATACGTCTTGGTAAACTCTCTCGGGCCTCATTTTGGAAGCATATAGCCATGGCCAGTTCTAGCTAGTTTAGAAACGCTCAATGCATTTGAATGAGACGGCCGCAGAAAATCATGAATAAACCCATGAAGAAATGCAGCAGGAATTCAAAGTGATGGACTCTTCAGCATTTCAAAGTGATCGTAGGCGAATTTTCTGGACTACAAAATGCTACGTTTAGGTGTTTCTATGGGTTCTGTTTCTTGCTCTGAGTGGAGCACACTGTAAAATCTCAGTAATCATGATCCTCAGATTTAGTGTTATGACTATCCCATTGCAGTTCTCCTTTCAATTTTTCATGCTGGGAGGTATAACGTTACCGTTACTCCTAATCTGACAACTGCATCTGTGGTTATCTTCACTTTTGAGCATCTTTCTTCGCCTCGTCTCCAATTCTGCGGATTTGAGCGGTCTGTAACTGGTGCCGAGTAGGTAAGTTGTATAATTATGGAGGGAACAGATAGTTATGCCTATCTCAATTATCCATTTCAAGAGAGTCGCTGAATCACTCAACAAAAAATTCAATATTCTCATGATTCATGCCTCTTATTTAGCGTTTCGATGAATCCACAAAAAAGGCCAGCCACGCCCGTTATCTATTTCATAGAGAATAATTCCACCTGTCTCTCTCTCCCTTTTATATCATGGCGAGGGTCCAAGTTGAAGCGGCGCGACCGTACAATTTTTCTCATTAACTCACCCTATCTTCCTCCTATGTCCTGTCACCCTTTGATTCTTTAGTTTGACATGTGCTACAAATCACCCCTTACGATTAGTTTGGAATCAGGTGGAATTCTCTTCTAAATCAAGTTGGAGTATTATTTGCAATCATTAGGAGAACACATGGCGACGGAATCGATATTTATAGGGTTGTGCAGAGCTTCATGTTAATAAAATCGTAGCGTCGAACCGATCGATGGTGGTGGGCTTCCATTATGTGTCATTTGTGCCTATCTTCATGCTATATTACCTTTTGATAATATTAGTAGACGCACAAGGAACAATTTCTTCGCGGTCATCAATTTTTCCGTGTGAAGTTATTTCAACCTTTTTTCATCTGAAGTTCTTCCTATTTTGTACGATGAAATTTCCAATTGGTCCTAGAAAGTAGCTCATTCACTTTATGAGGGTCAGCACGAATCCTTAAGTTTGTAATGGGCAGTTGTTTTCGAAATTATGAACTACAAACAGGCAATTGTGGGTCATTGTATGCCATTATTGCTGATTACATCCCCTCTTTACGTATTGTCTTCACATTGGAATTCGATGTGCAATGCATTTTCAAGCTTCTGTGCTTTATTTGGTGAGCTGTGCAGAGAACATTGAGGCCTTGTGATGTCGACGAATTAATCCTCGAGCTGATTCAT